TTCATATTCAGGTACTATGCTCTCAACGACGATTTCCCCACCTTTACGAGCAAGCACTTTACTTTTCGCATCCACTGTTTCCTGACATTTCATTGTTATTCCATATTCCTTTTCAGGTGTAACTCCATTATAACCTAATTGATCTTCAATTTTAACTATCGCTGGCATTCCTTTTGCCTGTTCCATTGGTGTACTATTCAGAATTATATTGATTGCACCTTGATTCTGGTGTTGGGTTTCGCAGCTCAACCCTTCATTATTTAGATGGCCATCAGCACTTAGTTTTCCTCCTTGTTCGTTATCATTATCCTTATTACTTCGTTCCAACATGGAGACTGCTTCACGATCTGTACCGATTTTACTGACGCAAGGCATACTGAAGTCATTAGTATGCTTCTTACTGAGATAGTATATTTCATCGCCATTTTGCTGTCTATCATCAGAGTGCGAAGGTGTCAAAATCATTTCGGGATTTTTCTCGAATTCAGTAAAACCATCTCTCTCTCCAACATCAGAAATCTGTCCTTGGTAAACATTTGAAAGTCCAGAAAAATCAACATTTTTCGTAATTACTACTCTACTGTTCGATTCAGGAATTTCTATATAGGGTGGGTTGTGGAATCGTGTTCGTACCTTAGTATCTTTTTCGATCACCATTTCGCCATGAGCACAAGAAGGACCTTTTCGTATCGTAGTGTGCGAGTCCTTTTCTATGACGGCGACGTGTTTACCCCCAATAGTTCCTGCTTCTTTGACTATTCCTTGGACGTCGGAATCGCTTAGGACTGAAGCGATCAGCTTGATTACTTCATCGCCGTCTGTAGTGGTTCCACAATCGCAAGTACCGCTTCTTGCAGGGGAAAGACCTGTTTCTGGACCAGAAGATGATGTGGTTGTGCCCGAATCAATCTGAAGTACTCCCGAAGATGTCACGCTGTCGGAAGACGCAATATTACCATCCCCGAAGTTATCAGGAGAAACATTTTCCCCAATGGACGAGACGTAACCATATCCCTCGCCTGCGGAGGTAGTGTACGTACAGTCGCCTGCCGAGTTGGGACTTTTATGTCCACTTCCACAACCTTTAGAGTTAAAGGGTTCAATCCAATTTGTGGATATAGCTTGTCTACTCCCACCGCCTGAGGAAATAGCGTAGGGACTTACGACGGCAATGGAGGAGACAGACCCAATACCACCACTTGTGAAGGTATCAGGTCTAAATCTGTCACCTGTAGAAATGGTGCCTTTGCATCCACCTACTTTCGAAGAAGAAAATTCATTACTGTCGCCAGTTGGGAAGCCGTATCTACTCCCATCCTCAGTGGATCCAATCTCACCGGCTGTCGGGATAGCATAATCGCTGTTGCCAACAGTAGAAGTAATGTCTACACTTTCGCCAACGTTGGTTGTAAGTTTCCCACTACCATTATCAGATGGACTTACATTGCTGATAGGGCTGGCATACCCATTCCCTTCGCCAGTGGAGGTTATGTATTCGCGTTTACCAGCTGTGGAAGAACCTCCCCGACTCCCGATACCTTCGATATTAGCATTTCCATTCCGGCCGAGTATAGAGGAATTGTCTGTAAGTTCAACTGCAGAGGTAGAATATACATTCTCGCCACCTGTCGAGATACTGTATTCGCTTTCGTCTCCAATGGAAGTAACATAGACACTTCCTCCGCCTGTGGAGGTACCGAATCCGTTTCCATCACCTGTCGAGTAGCCGTTTCTGTCCCCTATGGCAGTAACATATCCGCTTCCGCTACTTGCGGTACCGTATCCAATCCCGCCTCTTGTGTCTGCGTCTAATCCAATCCCTTCGCCTGCGGAGGACCCATATTCGTTCTCTCCTTTCGTGGAGGTCATGTGCCAGCCAATAGTAGAGGTTTCATATCCGCTCCCGCCGCCTGTCGATGTGTCCAATCCGTTTCCAGCGTCTGTGGTAAAAGCATATCCGTTCTCACCGCCTGTGGATGTGTCCAATCCAATTCCACCACCCATGGAGGAATCGTATGCACTCCCGCCGCCTGTGGAGGAACCGAATTCGCCCCCACCATCCGTGGAGGTCATGTATCCACTCCCTCCAACTGAGGAGGTTCCATATCCGCCTCCATTGCCTGTGGATGTATCTAATCCAATTCCCCCATCTGTGGAGGAACTATATCCGCCCCTTTCACCCAGGGAGGTCATGTGCCCACCTCCGCCAACAGTAGTGGTTCCATATCCGCTCCCGCCACCTGTGGATGTGTCCAATCCGATTCCACTACCTGTGGATGTGTCTAATCCGATTTCACCGCCTGTAGAGGAACCACATCCGCCCCCTCCACTCGGGGAGGTCATGTGCCCACTCTCGCCAACAATGGAGGTTCCATATCCACTCCCGCCGCCTGTCGATGTGTCCAATCCGATTCCACTACCTGTGGATGTGTCTAATCCAATTCCACTGCCAGTGGAGGAACCATATCCGCCCCCTCCACCCGTGGAGGTCATGTGTCCACTCTCGCCAACAGTAGAGGTTCCATACCCACTCCCGCCGCCTGTAGATGTGTCTGAGCTACTTCCCTCGCCTGTGGAGGAAACGTATTTGACTTCACCACTTGTGGTCTTGTATCCACTCTCACTAACTGAGGACGATCCATATTCGCTTCCACCGCCTGTGAATGTGTCTAATCCAATTGCTCCGCCCGTGGAGGAACCACATCCGCCCCCTCCACCCGTGGAGGTAATGTGCCAACTCCCGCCAACAATAGAGGTTCCATATTCGCTCCCGCCGCCTGTCGATGTGTCCAATCCATTTCCACTATTTGTGGATGTGTCTAATACAATTTCACCCCCTGTAGGGGAACCATATCCACCCCCTCCACCCGTGGAGGTCATGTGCCCACTCTCGCCAACAGTAGAGGTTGCATATTTGCTCCCACCGCCTATAGATGTATCTAATCTACCTCCCCCGCCTGTGGAAGAACCGTATTTGCCCTCTCCACCTGCGGTCATGTATCCACTCCCGCCAACTGAGGACGATCCATATCCGCTCCCGCCGCCTGTCGATGTGTCTAATCCTGTATCACCGCCTGTGGAAGAATCGTATCCGCCCCCTACACTTGTAGGCATTCCGTATCCGCTCCTAGCGCTTGTGGTTGTGTCAAATGCGATTCCACCGCCTGTGTAGGAACCATATCTGCTTCCACCGCCTTTGGATGCATCTAAATCAATTCCATCGCCTCTTGTGATACCGTATCCGCCCCTTCTGCTTGTGGAGGTTATGTACCCACTCCCGCCAACTGTAGATGTTCCGTACCCGCTCCCGCCGCTTGTTGATGAGTCGAATGCGATTCCATCGCCCATGGATGTACCGGACATTTTCCCGTCATCTCTGGAGGTCCCGCCTCCATTCCCTATGCCTGTGTAGGTATCGTATCTACTCTCACTGCTTATAGACGTGCCAAATCCGCTTCCACCGCCTGTGATAATCTGTATTGTCTTGCCTCCGGGTGTGTAATTGCTCTCAACACCTGAAGAAACTGAATATTCACTTTTTCCTACTCTTGATGTACCATCTTCAGTTTCACTGACAGTTAAGGGTTCGTATTGGCTTTCTCTGTCTCTTGAGATATCAAAGACGTCTCCACCGCCTGTAACGGTGGTATCAGTGATATCTCCGCCTGGAGAGATTTCGTGTCTGCTCTCGCCGTCTGTGATGGCGCCGCCTTTTATTCCATCCCCTGTAGAGCTAGAATATAAATGACTATCAAGTTTTGGTGTAGCGCTTTCCCCACCTGGGTAGTATCCGTCTTCACTACCACCGCCTGTGGGAGGCGTATCCTCATTCCCACTCCCTGTGGAAAATGACAATTTACTCCCACAGCCTGTGGAGGTAGAGTATTTGCTTTCACTACCTGTCAATAGCGTTTTCCCACTCTCCCTGGCTGCGAGGGTAGAGGTTTTGCGTTCTCCATCGCCGTCAGTGGATATCATGTATTCGCTGCCGCCGTCTTCTGAAATAAATGTACTCCTGCCGCCTAGAGCGTATTCCCTCCCACTGCCCGTGGAGTATCTGCCGCCACCGCCTATTGGGTGGGTCAATGCACTTCCCGTGGAAGTAATTTCTTTATATCCATCTTCTTTGGAAGTAAAACTTCCACAGTCTGTGGAAATACTAGATTGTCTTTCACCTCTTGCGGATAACACATATCCGCTCCCGCCGCCTGTGGAGGTAGTGTAATCCCTTCCCTTTTCTTTGACTGTTACTCCACTCCCTCCATCTGTAGTGATTGTATTTTTGCTGTCAATATTCGGAGATATTTTGTATATGCTCCCACCGTCTGTGGAGGTTGTAATTCTGTCACCACCCTCAGTGGATGTCATGTAACCGCTTCCGCCGTCTGTGTTTATAACATATTCGCTTCTTTCGTCTTTAAAAGTAGCGTAACTGTTTCCGTTTACATTGGAAGTAGTATCCTCACTCCCGCTGCCACTGGATGGTATATTCCCATCGCCTGTTAAGGTTGTGTATTTTCTTTCACCACCTGTCGATATCATTGCACCACCCCCTCCACCTGTAGACGACGCGAATCCACTCGCGCCGCCTATCGGGAGAATATATTTACTGCCGCCCATGGACGTAACAAATCCATTGCCTGCTACTGTGGATGTAAAGTCTTTGTTTCCACCATCTCTCATGTATCCACTCTCTCTTCCTTTGGAGATGCCATATCGACTCACGTCGCCTATGGAAGTATGATATGTAGTCCCGCCACCTAAAGCAATTGATTCCCTGTTCCCATCGGTAGATGTAATATATTCGTTCCCAGCACCTATGGTAGTATAGTATGTATTGTCACTGCCTTTGGGATTATTTAACGCGCTTCCTTTACTTTCTGAAAATACATATCCATTCCCTTCTCCTAATGATGCGGTGTATCTATTGTTCCCTACTACAGAGGTATAGTACCCACTTCCCCCACCTGTAGATGAACTGTATGCAGTCTTACTTCCAGTAATTCCAGAATATTGGCTTCCACTGCCAACGGAGGAAGAATACGAGCTCTGGCTACCACCTGCGACGAATCCTTGGCTGCTCCAGGAAGTCTGCTTGCTCCAGTGCGACGTGGCAGAACCAGCCGCAGACTGGGTTTGGGACGACTCGGCGGCATGTAATGTAGGCGATCGCCAATGGATGGGTTTCATTGGAAGCATGTCTCCGCCTTGGAACTGATATTCGGTGGGAGTCTGCCTCGCAGCGTAGCTGTCCTCTCCGTCGTCTGCAATGTAGCGGCGATTCCGCATGCATATGCTCAAACATTTGCATTCCTGTGGACAGAGGAAAAGGTAAAGCAGAACATGAAAGTTCAATAATGTCGGCGCGCGGCGTACTGAAGTAAGAAATGCTGACATATCAGTCTAATTGAGTGAATGAAAGAATAAATGAGTGAACGAACGAATGATATGTGTATTACATAATGACTTCAAAACAATGATTATACAACTGTAATCTAAAATGAACGCATCATGTTCAATTTCAACATAAGCATTTACCATTATAGGTGTCATGACCAATGCATTATTTGGCCATGGCCATTAGCATTATTTTGTTGTACTGTTGTCTTGTACTTTTATAGAGCCTACTGATTATTATTATTATTATTATTATTATTATTATTATTACTATTATTATTATTACTATTATTATTACTATTATTATTACTATTAACCATCATTTATTCTCAAATATAAGTTGGTACATGAAACATTGTGCTTCGACCAAGGCAAGAAACACTGAACAGTGATTAATAATTACTAATATAACACTACAGATACTACTTTTACATTTTTACCTTTGTAGACATTTGAAGAAAAACAAATAAAAAATATACACAACTGCAAAATAAACATTAAGAACAACTTAATTTTTAATTGTACTTTCAACTTTGTTCATGTTCTAAATTACTAAATGTTCACTAAATTCATAGTGTAGTTCTCTTTCATGTTCTAGTTCTTCGCCCATGAATTTTCTCACTAAATGACGCGTGTGACAAACTCAGACTTCTGCATCGTCATTAGTGTTCCTGCTGCAACCACTACTTCCAATTGAGATTTGGTAGATTGGGGTATTATTCCTGTGGCCGAGATTATTATGGGTCGGATAGTGACTTTATTTTCCAGAGTTCTTTAATTACGTCAGCTAGGTCTTTGTATTTTGTTATTTTTGAATTGTATGCAATGCTAATGTTGTTAGTGACTGGAATTGCAACATCAACAATGTGAACTTCTTTCCTTTTGTTCAACAGCATAATATCAGGACAATTTTCTGGGTAGTGACATCAGTTCTAATTTCACCGTCCCAGTATAATTTCAATGTTGGTTGTTTTCAATGACAGCCGTAGGTTTATATTTGTGGTATGGGATTGTAGTTGTATTAGTGTCATTATCTGCTAAATGTTAGCGTAAAAGCGTCGCCAAATTGTTGCGCCTCTGTATATTTTGTACTCGCAAGGAGGCGACAGGAGCCTATAATAGTCTCGGTGACAGCATTACACTTACTGCATTTGTCATCAGAAATGGATTCTTTTTTAATGAATTGTCTGTGATTGTTGATTGGTAATATTCTGTCTTGACACCTATAGTTTTCGTTTAGTTCATCGTGAATCCTATTGTTTCTCCAAAAAGACTTCCTTTCTTAATCCTAAGATTGGTTGTTTTTCCATCAACACTATCATTTTGTAGTTGATTAGCATGTGTTTCATGTAATGCTTTCGATTTCCATTGCGCTTTCAGGTCATCTACTGATTTTCATTGTAGGCCATAATGGCTAAGAGCCGCTGTGTTGCATCAATGTCAGATTTGCAAATAACTCGGAACATACCGAGAGGTGTTTGCTCTTTATAGAAATACTGCCTTAGATCGTCGATTTGTTTCTTGTAGATATACGTTATGTCGATTATGCCCATTCCTCCCAGAGATGTAGGAAGAGTGACGCGCTCTGCTGCTGCATTGAGGTGTCTCATACGGTCTGTTGCGTTCTATTAATTCTTGACAGGTCTCCCAGATCTATAGTTGACCATTTAATTACACCAAAATAATATATAAGTAATGGAATTGCAAAAGTACTTGTATCTTTAACCTTAATTCTACTGTACAGTTGAGTTTTTAGTATGTTTTTAATCCCCTGTAAAAATGTCTGTTTCAAATTATTTTTTACTTTTGTGTGATCAATTTCATTTAGCTGCGCTATTCCGAAATATTTGTACTGGATGGGGTCTTCAAGATCTTTAATGGTCTCATCAGGTGTTACACAATGCCCTTCGGAAGCAACAGTTTTTCCCTTTTCAAAATGAACAGTTTTGCATTTATCATAACCAATTTCCATACGTATCTTACTGTTAAATCAAGAGGTAATATTATGAATTTTGGTGAAGCTGTGCTTTTATATCTGCTATATTTTCCTGTCATCCATGTCCAATACCTGGTTGATAATATAATTGTTCAATCGTGTGGTTAATTTGTATCCGTATGTTGTGCTACGAAGTGCTTAACTGAGTGGGTTCATTGCCATGCTACCACAGTGCTTTTAATGATTCGCCTGGGAAGATGCCTCTTCTAGTATAGATGGATCTAGAGATTACAGATGATAAGTTGGCAGGTGCAGAACTGTGTTTCAGTTCTCTATCATGTGGCAAAGAAGATTAGTTATATTTGGATGTAATTTGTATATATTTAGGATGTCTAATAGGTAGGACTGTGGTATGGAGCAAATGCTTTTCTATAATCGATGTATGTCATGTTGATATTTCGTTTTTTTGTTATTGCTTGCGACTCCGTAAAAATATTAATGAACAATTGATGTTTGCAACCTTTTGAAGATCGGTAGCATTCTTTCTGTTCTTCTGTCATAATGTTATTTTCCTCTAGATGTGCATAGATCTTTTTAGTCCTAATATATGTTAAATACTTTTATATTGTGGGAAGGCATGTAATTGGACGATAATTAGCCGGGTCTTCTCTTTGATGATCTGTAGGGAGTACAACCGTTTTTCCTTCAGCGAAAACGTACGTGTTTTCTCAGGATTAGTGATGTTGTCATTTAACTATTCTGCAAGGCTTTTGTGAATGCTTAGGAATTATTTGTACCAAACGTTTTGTAAATGGTCAGTCCCGGACGCTTTCCAATTTGATGTTATTATTGTTAATATTGTCATTATCATTATTATTATCATTATTATTATTATTTCATTTATTGAAGAGTGGCGAGATGATCATACAATGTTTTACTTTATTATTTCATAACGTTTCAATTCTTGGTTGTGAAAAAATAAACTAAAACATTGTTCAACTGATCTTACATCAATATAATATGATGATATAACATAATAGAGATACTAAGAGCACGTTACTATCAGAGAATAGCGTCAAATGCAAGCGTATTTAACACACACTGCAGTTCAGTTTTCAAAATAAATCTCACACACTGACAGTGCGAGAAGGCGGTGAGTCGTCAGTTTAATATATATTCGTTCATCAATCCACAACAAAACGTTCATCAATCCACACCACCATTCTGGTGTCAATACCCGAAAGTAATAATTTACGAAGTTGTTTATCGCATGGAACGACATTAAAAGCCTTGGCAAAGTTTATTATCACAGCATCCACCATCCTACCGTCATTTTCGCCTGGTATGTCCTGAAACAATCATACAATCTGACTTTATATATATATATATATATATATATATATATATATATATATATATATATATATATATATACCCAAATTGTGTAAACAAATAAAATCAATGAAGAATGGAAAATCGCGGGGACCAGACGCCATTTCTACTTATATAATTAAATTCGACGAGGAGGAAATTTTACTGTATCTAACACGAATATTTCACATTTACATCAACAATTCAAACTTGCGCGAAGATTAGAAGGTTGCGACCATTGTACCAATTTATAAAAGTGGCGACAGAACTATTTTATCACATTAAAGACCGGTAAGCCGTGCATCAGTTAAATGTAAACTTACGGAACATTTATTATAAGTTACATTAGACAAGAAAGTGATAAAAAAAGGAATGGCTATTTCAAGAACAGCATGGTTTCAGAAATGTTTTTTTCTTGCGAAAGTCAGATTGTATGATTGTTTCAGGACATACCAGGCGAAAATGATGGTAGGATGGTTGATGCTGTGATAATAAACTTTGCCAAGGCTTTTAATGTCGTTCCATGCGATAAACAGCTTCGTAAATTATTACTTTCGGGTATTGACACCAGAATGGTGGCGTGGATTGATGAACGTTTTGGAGACAGGAAACAAAGTTCGAGTTGAACAAATTTCTCACCGTTGGCAAACGTTAGGTTTGGGATTCTCCAAGCATGTGTCATTGAACATCTCCTGTATTCGCGTTTGTGAATGACTTGCCAAAAAATTGGATTCGGAAGTACGTTTATTTGTAGACTGCATTATATAGAGAGTTATTAATTCAAAAGTAGACGATGATATGTTGCAAAGAGAACTAGATAGATTACATATTTAAGCGGAAACATATCGGATGGCAATAATAGTTCAAAAATCAAAACCATCCACACATTAACATTTAGGGTACAAGAATATTTGCAAAAAGCCATATTTGAATGCAAGGATTTTTTTATTGGGAAAATCATGTAAATTTTGTGGTAGAGAAAATCTAGAGATCTACTTTACTGAGCGGATAATATTAAAAAAGGAGACTGCGAAAGCGAATTATTTTCTTGTTCGTCCATTAATAGAATATGAAACCCTTGTTAGAACTCTTACAGAAATCTACAACGGGAAAATCTTAATAGGATACAGGGAAGAGCATACAAACATACTTCCGTGAAATAGGAAGAACGTCGAATGGGAATCATTAGAAATCAGGATTAAAGCAAGAGAATATCATATTCACAAAATACAGTTCAGGGATCAGAGAACAGAGGTTTGAAAATGTTCCTTTACTTACAGAACAATTAAGGAATGAAATACGTTTCCTGCTACAGTCTTTGAACCTTTCCTCTAGGTGTTGTAAAGTTCAAAAATAAATTATGAAATAATATTACATTTTCTTAATTCTTAGTGTAGACAGTTATTATTATTATTCTTATTATTATTGTTATTATTATTATTACTATTATTATCATTATTATTATTTTTATTTTTTAAATGTACTTTCTGTTCGACAATGGTTCTTCCAGGGCATTTAAATTTACGATATAAGGATAGTCGTTATGGATATTAACCGTAACCTTTAAGAGGATTTATGAACATAAATTTAAGAATTAGAAAAATGTTCTAAAGCTAAGAAGGATGGA